ACAAACAAACAATCTGGAGTAGCAATACTTTTACCAGAAAAAATAGACTTTAAAACAAAGGTTATAATAAAAGTCAAAATAAAAGGACCCAGAAATTTCATTTCTGGGTATTTATCCAAAGAAACCCAAAACACTAAATCAAAAAGATATATACATCCATATATTTAATGCAGCATTATTTATAATGGCCAAGATATGGAAGCAACCTAAATGTATATCAACAGATGAACGGATAAAGAAATGGTGTATATATACAATGGAATATGACTCAGCCATAGAAAAATGAAATCTTGACATCTGCAACAACATGGATGGACTTAGAGAGTATTGTGCTGTGTAAAATAAATCAGACAGAAAGACAAATGCCCTATGATTTCACTTATATGTGAAACCTGAAAAACAAATATAAGCTCTGGCCAGTTTGGCTCAGCAGTAGGGCATCCAGACCAAAGAGTCACGGGTTCGATGCTGGTCAAGGATATGTACCTTGGTTGTGGTTTAATCCCTGGTCAGGGTCATATGGAAGGCAGCCAGTCAATGTGTCTCTCTCACACCGATATTTCTCTCTCTATCTCCCTCCCTCCCTCCTACTCTGTCTAGAAATAAATGGAAAAATATCCTTGGGTGAGGATTTAAAAAAAAAAAAAAAGACAGCCCTGGCCAATTTGCCTCAGCGATTAGAGACATCAGCCCGCACATCAATGAGTCGCAAGTTCTATTCTGATCAAGGGCACATACCTTGGTTGCAGTTTGTCCCCAGCCCTAGTCAGGGTCCTGAGGGAGGCAGCTGGTTGATGTGTCTCTCTCACATCGATGTTTCTCTCTCTCTCTCTCCTCTTCCTTCCCCCTCTATCTGAAAATAAATGGAAAAATATCTGCAGGTAAGGATTAAAAAAAACAAAACAAAACAGCCCTGGCCAGTTTGGTTCAGTGGTTAGAGCATCGGCCCACAGACCAGAGAGTCCCAGGTTCAGTTCCTGCTAAGGGCATGTACCTCAGTTGCAGTCTGTCCCCGGCCCCAGTTGGGGATGTGTGGGTGGCAACCAGTCAATGTGTCTCTTTCACATGATGTTTCTCTCTCTCTTCCTCCCTCCCTCCCTCCTGTTCTATCTGAAGATAAATGCAAAAAATGTCCTCGGGTGAGGATAAAAACAAAACAAAACAAAAAAACAAAAAAACAGAACTCATATCTAGATACAGAGAACATTTTGACAGTTACCAGATGGGAGGTGGGTTGGAGGGATGTGTGAAGGGGTTAAGAAGTAAAAACTCACCCTGGCCGGTTTTGCTCAGCAGTTAGAGCATCAGCCCATGAACCAGATAGTCCTGGGTTCAGTTCCCACTAAGGGCACCTACCTCAGCTGCAGTTTGTCCCCAGTCCTGGCTGGGGTTGTGTGGGTGGCAACCACTCAATGTGTCTCTCTCACATCAATGTTTCTCTCTCTCTCTTCACCCCTCTCTCCCTCCCTCTCTATCTAAAGATAAATGCAAAAAAGGTTCTCTGGTGAGAATAAAAAAAAAGTAAAAACTCACGCTGGCCGATGTGACTCAACGGTTACAGCACTGACCCATGCACCAAAGGGTCAAAAGTATGATTCTCAGGCAAGGGCATGTACCTGGGTTGCAGATTTGATCCTTGGCACCAGTCAGGGTACATGCAGGAGGCAAACAATAGATGTGTATCTCTCACACATCAATGTTTCTCTCTCCCTCCCACCTCTCTCTCTCCTTTCCTCTCTTTCTAAAAAAAATTAAAGGGAAAAATATCCTCAGGTGCAGATTAAACAACAACAACAAAAAGTACAAATTGGTAGTTAAAGAATGGTCATGGGGATGTAAAGTACAGCATAGGGAATACAGTCAATAATATTGTAATAACTGCCCAGCCAGTGTGGCTCCCTTACCTGATGAAAGAGATAGACATGCAAGTCCAGGAAGCACAAAGAGTCCCGAACAATATGAACCCAAAGAGGCCCATACCAAGACACATCATAATTAAAATCACAAAGCTTAAAGACACAGAATGAATCTTAAAAGCAGCAAGAGAAAAGCAGTTAGTTACCAACAAGGGAGCTCCCATAAGAATGTCAGCTGATTTCTCAACAGAAACTTTGCAGGCCGGAATGGAGTAGCAAGAAATATTCAAAGTGATGAAAAGCTAGGACCTTCGGCCAAGATTACTCTCCCCAATAAACCTATCATTTAGAATTAAAGGTCAGATAAAGAGCTTCCCAGATAAGGAAAAGCTAAAACAGTTCATCACTAAACCATGGAATGTTCAAGGGCCTCCTTTAAGTAAAAGAAGAAGTAAAAAGATCAACGACATGAATAATAAAATGGCAATAAATGCATATCTATCAACAATTGAATCTAAAAATCAAAATAAACAAATAAGCAGAACAGAAACAGACTCATAGATACAGGAAACATTTTGATGGTTGCCAGTTGGGAGGGGGTTGGGAGAATGGGTGAAAAAGGTGAAGGGATTTAGAAGTACAAATTAGTAACTATAGTATAGTCACAAGGATATGAAGCATAATATAGGGAATACAGTCAATAATATTCTAATAATTAGGTATAGTGTCAGATGGCTTTAAGCTTTTTTGGAATGATCATTTAGTTTTATAATATCTAATCACTGGGGTATACACTTGAAACTAATATAATATTTATGTCAATTATAATCGAAAAATAAAAAATAAGCCCTGGCCGGTTTGATCAGTGTTCAGGACATTTGGCCTGTGGACCGAAGAGTCCTGGGTTGCATTCTGGTCAAGGGCATGTACCTGGGTTACAGATCTGATCCACAGACCCGCTCAGGATTGTATAACTGATGTGTCTCTCAAATCAATGTTCCTCCCTCTCTCCCTCTCTAAAAATCAATGGAAAAATATCCTCTGGTGAGAATCAACAAACAAAAACAATCCCGCTGTCAATATATTCACTTATTTTTTTGTATCAGTGAGAAACACATGGTCTCTTATTTCACTCAATGGTCTATAATCCATTACTAGTATTTATTTATTTTGGTGTTTAAACTGACCTGGTTTGGCCAGGGGAAGCCCACTCAAACTGGCTTCTACGTCCTTTCATTCTCAGAGCACTTCCTTGCTTTCTGGCTCAAGACCTTGCACTTTCCTGTCCCAGCTTTGAAATCAGCCATTTCTCAACAAGAGCCCTGGCTCCTCTTAGTGGAGAATGGCATTTAGAAGCCAAGATTTGGGTGCTAGGTGTACTCAATGCTAAGAAATGTATGCATGTATATGTGGGTATATAAATACTGAACACATACATCAAAATTTATTCCCATATCTCTACATATATTGCAAACCATGCATTTAACCCACACCTCCAATTTCAGGATTCATTCTACTTTTCTCCCTTTTCATAGTATCTGTAAACCCCTACTCCAACAGTGAGAAACTTGGCTTCTATTATCTTTTTTTGTTGTTGCTAATCCTCACCCAAGGATATTTTTATCATTGATTTTAGAGAGTGGAAGAGAGGGATGGAAGGAAGGGGACAGAGAGAAAGAAAGAGAGAGAAACATCAATGTGACAGAAACACATTGATTGGTTGCCCCCTTACATGTGCCCTGACCAGGGCCGAGGATTGAATCTGCAACCCAGGTATGTGCCCTTGACTGGGAATCAAACCCACGACCTTTGGTGTGCTGGCCGACCACTGAGCCACACATGCCACACCAGCCAGGGCCCATTATCTGTAATATACAGGCTAGGCCAATAGTGGGTTTATAGTACTTTGTGTGGGAAATAATACAATAATAAATAGTAGTACAATAACAAACTGTTTCTTATACTCACATCTACTTTGGCCCCACCCTGTATTTATTTATTTGAATCAATCTATCTGTATGTAATCAATCTCCCATTTCAGCTGCCCTGCCCTTCTTACCCTGCTGAGCCTCTGGTTCCCCTGTGCTGTGTCTCCCAGGGAATATTATCATTTTATAACAGGGTCTTATAAAAACCTATCAATCTGAGAATTTTGTACAACTCTCAGGAAATTGTTTTATGCCTACTCCTAATTTACATGACCTCCCCCCCTCACCTGTGTCTACTGAATAAAATGAATCCTAATAGTGACTGAATACCTGCTATATGCCAGACTATGTATGACACACTGTTATAATGAATGCTCAAAGGACCCCATCTGGCAGGCACTGCCATTCTCTCCATTTTACAGATGAGGAAAGTGAGGCACAGAGAGGTTAAGTAACTTGTCTAAGATCAAATGGTGGGATTCAAACTCAAATAATCTGAGTATAGAGTGCCCCTCACTATCTGCCTTCCAAATGAATGAGCAAATAATAATTCATTGGTGATCATGCTATTTAATACAGTGCTTTATAGAAGTAAGAAAACCGCCCTGGCCAGTTTGGCTCAGCAGTTGGAGCATCAGCCTGCGGTCCAGAGAGACCCGGGTTCGGTTCCCGCTAAGGGCACGTACCTCGGTTGCAGTTTGTCCCCGGCCCTGGTTGGTCGTGCAGGTGGCAGCCACTCGATGTGTCCCTTTCACGTCGATGTTTCTCTCTCTCTCTCTCTTCCTCTCTCTCCCTCCCACTCCATCTGAACAAAAAATGGAAAAGTGTCCTCGGGTGAGGATTAAAAAAAAAAAAAAGAAGTAAGAAAACCTAGAAATCATTTGAATGCCCAGCAATTAGGACTTGGTTAAATAAATATGATGAGTCCACAAAATAGAGCATAATTTAATAATACAAATGAAAATTTTAATAGAATTATTGAACTATTAAAATTGACAAATTTTTAATAACATGAGAAGCTATTCATATTTATAACAAGGGGGAAAATAGTAGTAAGTGACCTAAGTATTCTAGAATGTTCTCTAAATTTTTCATTTCCCTACTAACATATCCTTCTTTGTTAGTAGGCGTAGCTTGTTCTGTCTTATGGAGGCAAGAAATCAGTATTTTTGAGGCCCAGGCACAAAAACATTAAATAAAAGCAAAGTAATCTCACCAAAATATCCTTTATTGCAATTCTCATCACTTTTTCAGTCTCATTTATTTCCAGAGGTCTGGCAATTGCTTCTGTTCTCAGTTCCTATGAGAAACAATGAAATAAAATTATATATATTTTCAGAAGAGGAATTCTCAAAATCAATTTCCAAATCTAGATATGGCTTACAGGCTGGTTCCTAAAAATCTCATTAAAACATGGATCTCTGATGCAAAAACACTTCCACCATCACCTTCTCCAAATGTCTTCTGTAATTCTACTGCCAACCTGGCCTCTCTCTAACATGCCTTTTCAGCTACAGCCCCAGGTCCCCATAGCACCAAGGGCAACTTACCATCCCTCAGCTTTTCTCCTAAATTTGCTTCTTTACCTGCATTCTGTTCAGGGGACTCCCAAACCAAACTCAGCTAAACTTGCTGTCTGAATCCCCTGTCAGCCTCTACAATCTTTATGATTAAGTCCCTCTAAGTTGTCTTTCACTGACAATTGCAACTAATTAGAAGAGTAGCTTTGGCCCTGCATTAATTATGGACCAATCAAGGGAGGCATTTGTGCCTATTATATCAGTACTGGGAACTTCTGAGACATGGGATTTAAGGTTGATGCAGTTATGAGATTCCTGAATCACTTTATAAAACTCTAGCTTGTGCTTTCTTTACTCCACAGTGTACCTTATCTCCCTCACTGGTAAAAAAAAACTATGAAGGGAAGGGATTAAAACTTAACGCAAGGCTCAGTGCCTTGCCTGTGGTTGGTGTTCCTCAATGAGTGTTGGTTGAGTGTATGAAAAACAAATACTGGCTAGGGGATCATCCTCAGATCATGACTGCACACAGAATTTGAGAAGGGTCTCATGGCTTCCATGGCAACAGTTCAGCCACTGACTGTTTCATCAGTTCATTATAGGATGGTGTTAAAAGGGTCCCCCAGTGGAATGCTGGTGAAATCTCACAATGAGGCCACAGCTCCAATGACAAATAACAAGTCACCAGCTCCTGTCTCTAGGTCTGTTAGGAACATGTACAGACATGTGCACTACTGTACTATAAAGAGAAAACATTAAAAACCTAAAGTTGCCTCACTGGTTACCTAACTTAGCTATTAGACATTACTGGCAGTTTTGTTCTGCCAACTACTCTTCAGCAGGTGGCAACTACTATATCAAGAGCAGGGATGGCGCCTTGGCCGGTATGGCTCAGTGCTTATGGGTGTCAGCCCATGAACTGAAGGGTCGCGGGTACATACCTGGGTTATGGGTTCGATCCCTGGCCCCAGTCAGGGGCATATGGAAAGCAACCAGTTGGTGTGTCTCTTTCATATCAATGTTTCTCTCTCTCTCTCCCCTTTCCTCCCTCTCTTCCACTCTCTCCAAAAAAAAAAAAATCAATGGAAAAATTATCCTCAGGTGAGGATTAAAAAAAATAAAGAGCAGAGATGGTAACCTGGCACCCAAGTCTCCCACTTCCAGTGTTCTTCTAGGGCTGAAATAAAAAACAAGAGGAGCTCTGGATGATTTTGCTCAGTGGTTAGAGCACTGGCCCGCAGACCATAGAGTTGCGGGTTCGATTCCGATCAAGGACACGTACCTCAGTTGAGGTTCGGTCCCCAGCCCTGGTCGATGTCATGTGGGAGGCAACCAATCGATGTTTCTGTTTCTCTCTCTCTCCCTCCCTCCCTCCCTCTTACTCTGTCTGAAAATAAATGCAAAAATATCCTCAGGTGAGGATTAAAAAAAGAAAAAAACAACAAGATGAAAAAAAAAATATTACACTATAGCAGCAATGCCAGAACATAGAACACAAGCAAGAAAGTGAGAAAGTGGTCATGGCTGGCATATCTGATGGGAACAGAATGAATGAAATGTATTTAATTTAAAAACATCAGATAAGCCTGACCGGTGGCTCAGTGGCTGAGCGTTGACCCATGTACCAAGAGGTCACCGGTTCAATTCTCAGTCAGGGCACATGCCCAGGTTGTGGGCCCGATCCCCAGTGGGGCACATGCAGGAGGTAGCCAATCATGGTCTCTCTCATCAATGTTTCCATCTCTCTCTTCCTCTCTCTCTAAAAGTCAATGAAGAAAAAAATTGTTTTTAATTATTAAAAAATAAAATAAAAACATTAAATATGAACATGTATGCTTCAAGTACCATAAATCCCTACAGGTAAATAATATTCTATTTCCTCTTAAACCAGTCGGTCCCAAATTCTGCTGCCCACTGAAATCACCTGGAGATCTTTAAAAACTGGATGCCTGGTTCTCTACCCCAGGCATTCTGATTTATTGATTTTGGGGAACATCCTGGACATCAGGTGATTTAAAAGCTCTACAGGAGCTCTATGGGAGTCCTCCAGAAGCACACCCTTGAACAGCTCCTTAAACATAATGGATGGAGCATACTCCTTGAATGACATTAACTAGAACAGGATTGCAAATAAATATAAACTATTAACATTAACTTCAACTAATTGATAGTGACTGTCTAGATTATTGGTTCCCAAACATTGCGTTTAAATCACACAGAAGACTTTTAAAATCCCAAGAGCCCAAGTCACATTTCATACCAATGATATAAAAATGGAAAGCCAGGCATCAGTAGTTTTTTAAAATACCCAGGTGATTGCATTGCACAGCAAGGTTTGGGAACCATCATGGCTCAGAAGAGGATTTTGTTGAGAAGAATGTTGAGGCTGAGTTCACCAAGAAAAGCCTCATGATCAATAACGTCTGCCATGGACACAGGAGAAAAGTTTCAGCAACATGCCACATATTTGCCATTCCTGAACAAAAGTCAAAGATATTAAAAACAGACCAACATACCTGGCTGATGTGGCTCAGTGGATTGAGCGTCATCCCATGGACTGAGAGGTCCCAGTTTCATCCCAGTCATGGCACATGCCCAGGTTGTGGGCTCAATCCCCAGTAGCAGGAAGGTAGGAGGCAACTGATCGATGTTTCTCTCTAACATGTTTCTCTCTCTCTCTCTCTCTCTCCCTTCCTCTCTCTCTAAAAAAATAAATAAAAACATATTAAAAAAAACAAAAAAAGCCCTGGCCAGTTTGGCTCAGTAGTTAGAGTATCGGCCCACGGACCAGAGAGACCCAGGTTTGGGTCCTGCTAAGGGTGCATATCTCGGTTCCAGTTTGTCCCCAGCCCCGGTTGGGGTTGTGTGGGTGGCAGACAGTCGGTGTCTCTCTCTCTCACATCAATGTTTCTCTCTCTCTCTCCCTTGCTCTCTCCCTCCCGCTCTATCTGAAGGTAAATGCAAAAATGTCCTCGGGTGAGGATAAAAAACAAAACAGAAAAACAAAAACAACAGACCAGTGCCCACTAGAAGCAGGAATAACAGCTAACACTACACATTACTTTCTCACATAGTATATCATTTGATCAGGTACAGTTTAATAAAATCACAACAGTGAAAAAAAAAATAATTGGAAAAGAAAACCTTGAAAATCTGCTTAGCTGAGAAAGTAATTAAGTTATCTCAGCACTGCTTACCCTCAATTCTACCTCCTTGCCCAGCAAGTCATACAGAGATGCTCCTTTGGAGGTGATTTCAGAAGCAAGCTGCCTGGCTGCTTTCAAATCTGCAATCTGGAAGGAAAATATCAAAAACAGGAACCTCAGTGACAGGTTTTTAATAGGCATTCAGAAATAACCAGTTTGTTAATACAAATCCCTACCTCCATTTGGGTTACTTGACTATAGAACACATTTTCCATAAGACATGTACTTACATCCTGTGGAAGAGAGCCCACAGGATGATAGTTTAGAAAACACTGACTTAAGTACAAATTAGACCAACTTAGGATCTCTTTAAAAGCCCAAATGTCAAGTCAAATCCAATCTGACTTGCTTCCTAGGTCACAATAGGGGACCCCTACAGTGGTGGGGTGTCTAAAGGAGAGGTAATGAAGGACACATTTCCTAGAGCAGCATCCTGATGCCCTCTGTTTAACGCTTCTGTCCCCTCATTCTCTGCCTTTAGACTGAATTTCACAGGGCTGCTGTGAAGCTCAAATGAGTTAATATACACAGTACCCAGCTCCCACAAGGGAGGCAGCCACTATGAAGATGATGATGATGATGATGATGATGACGACGACGTTTTAGCACCTTGCTCTGTGCAAAACTTCTTTTTTAGGATTTACATGTCACCCTTTCTTCCTTGAATATTCTAAATTTTCAGAGCCCAAACAAACATCTCCCTGCTCTGCTCACACTCCCTCTTCTCCTAAACAGCAAATCCCCAATGTCTCTCTTTTATTATCAGACCATCAGCAACAATTCTCAATATTCATTCACAGCTGACGACTTTCTTTCTATTTCCTTAGTACTCTAGGATTCTGTTTCTGCTAGCTCTAGTTTCTCCTACCTTACTAGCATCAGGCTTTCAGTAAATAGTTGAATTAATGTATTGTGACTTCTGTTTTTATCCAAATACTGACAAATTGCCCTCAGTCAAGGAGTAAAAAAGTAGTTCTGTGAGTATATGACATGTTCCATTTCAGAGTGAGAAATATACATTCCATCCCTCACTACAAGCCTTTAATTGTCCTTACCTTTGAGCCAAGATCAAACTTGAATTTGCTGATATCGTCCTCTTCTATTTTAGAGCCCTCCATCCCTTTGGTCTTCATAGCGTTATAAAGGACAGAGGTGATCTTCAATAGTTCCTTCACTGCATAGCCATCTGCTTGATAAAGCTTCTTAGTATTGAGTTTTATATGTGCCTTGGTGGCCTATTTTCAGACCAAAAAAAAAAAAAGTTTATGGACCTTTCCATGTAAAATCTAAACCAAATCTCATGTAAGTAATTTGAAAATGTCTCTGCCAATAATTGGGATATAACCAGATTGTATTAAGAGTCAAACATTCAGCCCTGGTCAGTTTGCTCAGTGGTTAGAGCATTGGCATGAAGACCAAAGGTTTGCGGGTTCAATTCCTGATCAAGGGCATGTACCTGGGTTGTAGGTTCAATCCTTGGCCCCGGCTGGGGTTGTGTGGGAGACTACCAATTGATGAGTCTATCTCACATTGATGTTTCTCTCTGTCTCCCTCTCTTTCTCTCTCCGTACTACTCTATCTAAAAATCAATGGAAAAATATTCTCAGGTGAGGATTAACAAACAAACCAAAAAAAGATACAATCTTGATGGACAGCAACTGATAAAAGACAATGAAATTACAAATACACATATCTTTTGACCTAGCAATTCCAATCCTAAAAACTTATCCTACAGATGAATATATCAAAAACGAAAGGAGATACGTATAGATTGTTATAGCATTGCTTCAAAGAGCAAAGGTTACAAACACCTAAATGCCTATCTATATAAATTACATAAACTGTGATTTATCCAGGCAAGCAATATACCCAGATGTTAAAGAGAGAATACGAAGTTCTATATGTATTTGCAAAGCTCTTCAAAATGTACCACTAAGTGAAGATTCTAAACAGTATGCCACCATTTGTGTAAAAAGAAGGAAAAGAATGTATATTCTATTTGCTTATATATGCATAAACTCTGGAAAATATTAATAGTGATTGCTGGAAATGGAACTGGCTAATGGCAGACAGGATAAGAAGTCACTTTTCATCATCTAAAAAAATGTTCAGAACCATGAAATATATAATCTACTAAAAAATAAATAAAAATCTTAACAAATAATGAATTAAAAACTAAAAACTTTGCTGGCAAAATGGCTCTACAGAAACCTGGTGAGAGAATGGGTTTAGAAACTTGAAAGAAGCTCTAAGTAAGACCATACTTTTCTACTGTATTTAATTTTAGAACTATATCAAATAAGCCTGAACTAACCATGAATTGGGCAACTGCCTTAATGAAGAAAACTCGGTCTTGTTCTGTCTCAACATCAGAAGGGATGTCAGTCTGAGGTTCATACCTATCAGAGAGAGAGAGAAAGAGAGAAGATACCATTTAAAGTCCACAAAAGAGAAACTGGGCAACTGAGAGGTCAGGGGATCTGTAACAGGAAGCTTTCTGAGTCCCCTGCTTAGTTAGCAAGATTAAGAAAAATATAAAATACCAAACATCCAAGGGAGCAAATCCTCACCGTAAGAATAGGTTTAACTGATTTAAAAAAAACAAAATTTGGTCTGGCTGGTGTGGCTCAGTGGTTGAGCATCAACCCATGCACCAAGAGGTCGCCAGTTCGATTCCTGGTCAGAACACATGCCCAGGTTGTGGGCCCAGTCCCCAGTGGCCAATCAGTGTTCTCTCTCATCAATATTTCTGTCTCTCTCTCCTTCTCCCTTCCTCTCTCTCTCAAATCAATAAAGGGAAAAAAAACACTTTTTTTAAAAATCAAATTTGGGCCCTGGCCGGTTTGGCTCAGCTGTTAGAGTGTCGGCCCATGGACCAGAGAGGCCTGGGTTTTGTTCCCGCTAAGGGCACGTACCTTGGTTGTAGTTTGTTCCCAGCCCCGGTTGGGGTCGTGTGGGTGGCAACCCCTCGATGTGTCTCTCTCACGTCGATGTTTCTCTCTCTCTCCCCCCACCTCCCTCCTGCTCTATCTGAAGATAAATGCAAAAATGTCCTCGGGTGAGGATAAAAAATAATAATAATAAAAAATAAAAATCAGCCCTGGCCTGTTTGGCTCAGAGGTTAGAGTGTCGGCCTGCAGTCCAGAGTGACCCAGGTTCGGTTCCCGCTAAGGGCATGTACCTCGGTTGCAGTTTGTCCCCAGCCCTGGTTGGGTCGTGCGGGTGGCAACCACTCAATGTGTCCCTTTCGCGTTGATGTTTCTCTCTCTCTCTTCCTCTCCCTCTATCTGAACAAAAAATGGAAAAATGTCCTCGGGTAAGGATAAATAAATAAATATCAAATTTGGGGCTCAGCTTACAAAATTAAATCTTTCTCAGACCTCAAAGTTAATTAAAATAGTCAAAATGATTACTTTGCCTGAAAGCCCTTGACCCAGAACTAACTAGTTAGCTCTAAGAAGCAACAGAATTGTTGGAGTTATTTTCTTCGTGTTATTGATGACCCGCCAGGAGTCAGCAGCCCCTGGTGTACAGCTTGTGAGCTAAGAAGGATTTTTACATTTTTAAAGGATTATAAAAAACAAAACACAAGGCAGAGATCTAATGTAGCCTGTAACACCTAAGGTCTTTAACTATATTCTTAATAAAAACTTTGCCAACCCCAAATGTTAGACACTAGATTTTACACACAAAATGAAATTGAAATTATTTCTAATCCAGTGTACTCCTTAAAGTGTGTAGGAAGGTCCTCTGTCACTCCCAGATTAAGGTGAGGGGACAGAGAGGAATTTAGACCCTAGTGTCCACTTCCCACTGAGAAATAGTCTCCCTTTACCACTGACTGGTATATTCCTTCTCCCATAGTGTTCTTTAAAACTCAATTGATTTTTACCAGGTCACAACTAAATCTGTAAAACTCAAATTTTAATGAACTCTTCCTTTAGTTTCACAAGAATGTCCTATTTCTAGGTGGCTAATAAATAAAATCGAGTATTCATTCTTAGACCTCAATAAAGTGCAATTCTAACCTTTTCACAAGCCAGAGAAGAACTTCAGATACAAGTTCAAAATTTGGTGTGCGGAAATTTTCCATAGAAATATGTCGAGGGTATCCCAAGGCTCTCATCATCTCTGTAAAATCTGTCCAAGGTAAAATACAACTCAGTCAATTCATCATCAAACAGCAACTACTTATTAACTTATTTTCTCTGCTTTCCTTTCTTATTCCCAATCTATTGACAGTTTTAGGAACTATTTATCAACTCCCTAAGAGGGAACAAAAAAAATAGATAAAACTTAAAATAATCTGCTTCCTGAAAAACATTTATTTAAGTTCCCTGGGAGAAGTGGAAGCTGTACATCAAAATGGGGTTTAGGAGTTAGCCGTGAATTTAATTTCTCTTTGATATCTCATTTCTCTCTTGGATATCTTCTTACTATTCATAATGAAAAATAACTGGCCTTATAAAGTATCATAAATAAAGACATTTTTAAATGTTAACAGTGGTGCCTGGCTGGTGTGGCTCAGTGGTTAAGCGTCAACCCATGCACAAAGAGGTTCGATTCCTGGTCAGGGCACATGCCCAGGTTGTGGGCCCGATCCCCAGTGGGGGACATGCAGAAGGCGGCCAATCGATGTTCTCTCTTATCAATGTCTCTATCTCCCTCTCTCTCTCTCTCTAAAATTAATAAAGAAAAAAAATGTTAACAGTGGTTATTATGGGGGGAGTGATGGTGGTAGGGTCAAGTTCATGTTTCCGAGTTGTCTTTTTTTTTTTCTTTTAGTAAGTACACAGGACTTTACTAACACAAATTTTATTTCTTATTTTATTTTTATTCTTTAAAATGTTTTTATTGATTTTTTTTTTTTGGCGAGAGAGACAGAAACATCAATGTGAGAGAGAAACTGCCTCTTACACTCCCCCTACAGGGGATAGAGCCTGCAACTGGAGCATATGCCCTGACCGGGAATGAAACCGGCAACCTCTTGATGCATGGGTCCATGCTCAAACAGTGAGCCACACTGGCTGGACTAACACAAATTTTAAAGATTAGTTGCACTGTATCTACAGAAACATTAAAGAGAATGTTTGAACTATAGAGCATTATTTAGATTTATTATAAAACAGATTAAGAAACAGTAATACTGCCCAGCCAGTATGGCTCAGTGGTTGAGCGTCGACCCATGCACCAAGAGGTTGCCAGTTCGATTCCTGATCAGGGCACATGCCCAGGTTGTGGGCTGCAATCCCCAGTGGGGGGCATTGCAGGAGGTAGCCGACTGATGTTCTCTCTCATCAGTGTTTCTATTTCTCTCTCCCTCTCTAAAAATCAATAAAGAAAAAAAAAATTTTTTTTTAAAGTAATACTAACACTTGTTGATACTGGAGGTTGCTGTCACTAAGCTTTAAGTAGAACTTAGAAATAAACAAAACAAACATGTTTTGAGTTCCCACAATGTACCAAGATCTATATTCAGTATGCTCATGGCTATTTTATTTTATTTTATTTTTTTATCCTCACCCGAGGATATTTTTCCATTTCTTGTACAGATAGAGTGGGAGGGAGAGAGAGGAAGGGAGAGAGAGAGAGAAACATCGACGTGAAGGGACACATCGAGTGGCTGCCACCCGCACGACCAACCAGGGCCGGGGACAAACTGCAACCGAAGTACATGCCCTTAGCGGGAACCGAACCCGGGTCTCTCCGGACCGCAGGCCGACGCTCTAACCGCTGAGCCAAACCGGCCAGGGCATGGCTATTTTATTTTTATTGTTAATCCTCACCTAAGGATATTTTTTTCCATTGATTTTTATTATTATTTTTTTATCCTCACCTGAAAACATTTTTCCATTTTTTTATTCAGATAGAGTGGGAGGGAGAAAGAGGAAGAGACAGAGAGAAACATCGACGTGAAAGGGGACACATCGAGTGGTTGCCACCCGCACAACCAACCAGGGCCAGGGACAAACTGCAACCTAGGCACGCACCCTTAGTGGGAACCGAACCCAGGTCTCTCTGGATCGCAGGCCGATGCTCTAACCGCTAAGCCAAACTGGCCAGGGCTCCATTGATTTTTATTTTATTTTCTTTATTTATTTAATTTTTTTTTTTTTATCCTCACCGGAGGACACTCTTCCATTTTTTTGTTCAGATAGAGTGGGAGGGAGAGGACGAGAGAGAGAGAGAGAAACATTGACATGAAGGGACACATCGAGTAGCTGTCACCCGCACAACCCAACCAGGGCTGGGGAAAAACTGCAACCGAGGTACGTGCCCTCAGCAGGAACCAGGAATTGAACCCGGGTCTCATGGGACTGCAGGCTGACACCCAACCGCTGAGCCAAACCAGCCAGGGCTCCACTGATTTTTAGAGAGAGTGGAAAGGAGGGAGAAAGGGGAAGAGAGAGAGAGAGAGAGAGAGAAACATCGATGTAAGAGACACACATCCACTGGTTGCCTCAGGTACATACCCTTGACCGAGAATCGAACCTGAGACCCTCTGGTGTGCCGCCTGATGCTCTATCAACTAAGCCACACTGACCAGGGCATGTGCTCTTGGCTGTTTAATGTCTGTCCTCACTCTTCCTGAAGGTAGATGTTTAAAATGTCCTAGCAACACTCACAAAGAAGCTACCCAGGCATAAGAGGTTGGGTTGGATTTCATCAGACAACAGAAGAGATGGCATGGGCAGAGAAAAGAACATCTGCACCGAGGCCTTCTGTCACTGTTATTTGGGAAATCTGAATAGAGTGATGGAAAATAAAACAGCAGCCTCCCCATCACAGAGTCAGGCATTGCCTAAATATTTCTTCCCGCTAAGCAGTCAATTTCTGTTCATTCTGCAGTATTATTGCCAAAATGGAAACAATTTCAGGAAGATTCTTACCATAAATTGCACAATTGTCCAGCATTCATTTAATGTAAAAATGTTCAGAAATCCATTCTTGTACACTCTTCCCAATACAACTCCATTCAATGTCCCCTAGCAGAGTGCTCTCTCTAAACTACCAGGAAAGAGCAACTTGTCTCTACAACACAATCACCAAAAACCTTTAAATCCCAGAGCGCATAATTCACACTATGGTGCTAGTAGGTGTATTAACAAAATGTGATGCATCTTCCTGTATAGTATTTACATTGTAGAAAAACAGCAATTCATAACTGAAAGGAGTAATCTTTAATGGTGAAATTTCAGGCGCCACAAATTTAGTTAGAAAACTGGCCTTACAGAGGCCTCTCAACACCAAATTGTAATAACCTGCTACATCTACGAAGGTGAAGCCAGTTAAATAAAAAAAATCCAAAAAAATGAGGATAGTGTAAGGAGTCTCTGGGACAACTTCAAGCATGCCAACATTCGCGTCTTGGGGGTGTGCCAGAAGGAGAAGAGCGAGAACAAGAAATTGAAAACCTGTTTGAAACAGTAATGGCAGAAAACTTTCCTAACTTGGTGAAGGTAACAGACATACAAGTCCAGGAAGCACAGAGAGTCCCAAACAAGATGAACCCCAAGAGGCCCACACCAAGACACATCATCATCAAAATGCAAAAGGTTCAAGCCCTGGCCGGTTTGGCTCAGCGGTTAGAGCGTCGGCCTGCAGTCCGGAGAGACCCGGGTTCGGTTCCCGCTAAGGGCACGTACTTCAGTTGCAGTTTGTCCCCGGCCCTGGTTGGTCGTGCGGGTGGCAGCCACTCGATGTGTCCCTTCACATCGATGTTTCTCTCTCTCTCTCCCTCCCACTCTATCTGTACAAAAAATGGGAAAAAAAAAATATCCTCGGGTGAGGATAAAAAAAAATTTAAAAAAAAAATGCAAAAGGTTCGAGACAAAGAGAGAATCTTAAAAGCAGCAAGAGAAAGGCAGCTAGTTACCTACAAGGGAGTTCCCATAAGGCTGTCAGCTGATTTCTCAAAAGAAACTGTGCAGGCCAGAAGGGAATGGCAAGAAATATTCAGAGTGATGAAAAGCAAGAACCTACAGCCAAGATTACTCTATCCTGCAAAGCTGTCATTTAGCATCGATGGCCATATAAAGAGTTTCCCAACAAGAAAAAGTTAAAGGAGTTCATCACCACCAAACCATTATTGTATAAAATGTTGAAGGGTCTTTTTGAAGAAAAAGATAAAATATATGAACAAACAAAATGGCAATGAATACATATCAATCAACAGTGGAATCTACAGACAAAATGAACAGGCAGAACGGAAACATTCTCATAGATACAGAGAACATTTTGTTGTTTGCCAGATGGGAGGGGGGTTGGGGGAATGGGTGAAAAAGGTGAAGGGATTAAGAAGTACAAATTCATTGCTAGACTGACAAACCTCAAACGGAAAGGGGTTGGGGGGGTGGGAAGAAATAAACCAAAGAACTTATATGCATAACTAATGGACACAGACAATAGTGTGGGAAAATGAGGGATGGGGGCGGGAGTGGGGAGGAGGGGGTCAATGGGGGAAAAATGAGGAACATCTGTAATACATTCTACATTCAACAATAAAGATTTAAAAAATAAATAAATAAACTTTCAGATTCAGAAAATGACATTGTATAAAAGGCAAAAGATTTTTTTTATCCTCACCCAAGAATATTCTTTATGCCCTGGCCGGTTTGGCTCAGCAGTTAGAGCGTCGGCCTGTGGTTTAGAGACCCAGATTCAGTTCCCGCTAAGGGCACATACCTCGGTTGCAGTTTGTTCCCGGCCCTGGTTGGTTGTGCGGGTGGCAGCCACTCGATGTGTCCCTTTCACGTTGATGTTTCTCTTTCTCTGTCTCCCTCCCACTCTATCTGAACAAAAAATGGAAAAGAGTCCTTGGGTGAGGGAAAAAAAAGAATATTCTTCACTGTTTTGCGAGAGGGAGGGAGGAGGAGAGAGAGAAATATCCACAAGCTGCCTCCAATAGATGGCTGCCTGGGATGGAGCCCACAACCATTTGGTGCACTAGACTGCGCTGCAACCAACTGAGCACCGGGCCAAGACAAAAGACAAAAGATTTTGATTCATACAGTACTATGTCTTGACCTTTGGTTCCATCCAGTTCTGGCTGTGTGACCTAATGCAAATTACTTTACCTATCTGTGCCTCAAATATTTCATCCAGGAATTATACCACCTACCTTACTGTTAAAGTGAGGA